AAGAAATTAAAGTTAATTATGTTTTAATTCATTTAATTTTCTGTTTTAGTTTTTTTTTTTTTTTGGTTGGGAGGTATTCATATGAAATCATGCCATGTCATCATGACACATCATCAAAAAATTGTCCACATTGGATAAATAGCACCCACATCATTATTTGAATGTCACGTATTGCATTTTTAACGATTATTAATGGTGACGTAATTGTCCATTAAAATATTAAATTTTTTACCAGTTTTGAAAAGTAAAAAGTGTTGATCGAGAGGAAAATATTTGGAAGGTGTTGACCGCGAAAAAAAAAATTGAAAGTGCAAATAGAGGTTTTTGCCTATCAAAAAGTCCTACTTTTTTCTTTATTATTTTTCTATATAATATTATAAATATTTTTAAAAAATAATTATTAAGTAATATAAATTTTATCTTTTAATATTTTAAATAACATAACTAAATAAATTATGTTATTAATTTCATATTTTGATATTAAATGTTGGTCCTTTTATCATTATTCCATTATTAAGCATCTATAATGGTGGGAATTTGGGATTGTTGGGTAATGAGCTGAGTCATTTGACTGCCGACTTCTTCTCTATTGTAAAAACTATGATTTTGTTTGAATTTAAAAATATATTAATGAAACTAATTTTTTTCGACAAATTAAAATTATTTACATGTATTAATTGGGAGAATGGGAAAGGGGATCTGTAGGGGTTCGAACACATCACCCGCTCGCAGAAGGTGAACAACCCTAACCTAGAGCTCGTGCTACTAGATCGAAACGATCTGTTCAATAAAATTAATTTTTAATTACAATAAAATTAATACTTTTAATAATTTAATTATCATTCATATATTGCTATATTAATATTATAATATAACCTAAAGTTATGTTAAAAAAAATAAGACAACTAATTTTGAAGTACCTTTTATATAAGGATATTTTTTTTGTGCTTTTATAGTATAATTTAAAAGTGTCTTAATTATATTTTTTTGTTAATTGTTAAAAAATTAAAAGTTGATTTTATTTTATTAACTGTTAATTAAAATGGTACATGTCATTAATAGTAAAAATGAAATTAACTTTCATATTTTCTACATAAATAAAAGAAAAAAATGTATAATTAATACATTTTTAACATGTATTCGAATGCAAATCCCTTAATGAAAGTATAGAGTATGTTGTAAGGGTTTTTCTAACCGGTGTAATAAATATTTTATCTTATCATAAAATTGTGTTAAAAAATAAAAATTGACATTTAATTAATCAATAGTTTAATTAAATTTATTTATATGACAACAATATTAAAATAGATTTTTCTAATATATGCCCTTAAAATACATATTAATGGTTTAATTAACACACCTTTTGACCATTAAAATATATTTTTCTAACATAAAAAATTTGATATTAGTTTTAGTATCAATGTCAAATGTTTTAATTTAATTGATTAGCTGTTAAAATTAAAGTCAAATCGATTCTTTTTATGTAATTTAATAATAAAAAAATATATTAATTATTTTCTCAATTTATACCTTTAAAATATAAGATAAAAAAACTCTATTAAAACTTATGCCAACTTTTATATTTTTATATATAAATTTGTGACAAAAACACATTCTTAACTTCCACACAAATTTAAAAAGAATTTTTTAACTTGTCCTTTATGTACAGATTAATTTTCATTAAATGTAATATTTTTAATTAATTTTGTATAAATTTTTATATTAGATTTAATTAAAATAATATATAAAATATAAA